AGTCCCAGCTACTCAGGAGGCTGAGGCAGGAGGATCGCTTGAGCCCAGGAGTTTGAGGTTGCTGTGAGCTAGGCTGACACCACGGCACTCTAGCCAGGACAACACAGTGAGACTCTGTCTCAAAAAAAAAAAAAAACCCCACGGAATTCCACTACCCGCAGTTCCACTCCTGCGTAGACACCCAACCCAAATGAAAGCAGGTGTTCAAACAAACTTGTCCATGATGTTCGCAGCAGCGGTACTTACAGCAGCTAAAAGATGGAAACAACCCAAACATCCATCAGCAGATAAATGGATAAACGAAATGTGGTTTCTCCACGCACTGGAACGTTACAAAAGGAACGAAGTATGCAAGGCACAGGCCGTGACAGACAAGCCTGGAAACGTCACGAAGTGAAACAAGCTGACACATACGGCCACAGAGCGTGCGATTCCTTTATGCGCAATGTCCAGAGGCAGGAAGCAGAGTAGTGGCTGCCAGGGGAGGGGGTGGGGCGACTGCCTCACGGGGGGTGAGAATGTTTGGGGACCCGAGGGAGGTGGCGGCTGCGCGGCTCTCTGAATGTACTAAATGCCACTGAATTGTTCACTTTTAAATTATTAATTTAAAATTACTGGTTCACGATAACCTAAATGTTACGCGAATTCCACCTCAGTTAAAAAACCCCAACACTCAAGCCGCCCCAACCAACCAGCCCCCAGGACACAACGCTGCCTGTGAGACCGGACGCTGGACCCACCCGGCCCCCGGCCCCCTTCCGGCTGCTCCCCATTCCGGATTCTTCTCTGGTAAAGACACTCGCTTTTGCTTTTAACCCACTCCGCCCCGGTCGCTGGGTGCTCATCCCACCTGGCCAACTTCTCTCCCCACAGTCTGCGGGGAGACGTGTTAAGAGGAAGTTACGTCAGAGAAGGACACCTTTAATCTAACAACCATAAACACCGTCACCGAGGGAGGCAAGTGTCAGCGGCAGCGAACCAGGCGGATGCTGGCCCGGGAGGGGACCCGCCTGCTCCACGCTGCTGTCAGGAGAAGGCGTGCCCGGCCGCAGGCAGTTAGAAATCGCGGGTGTCTGTCGAGTGTTACGAAAGCAAAAGCGACGACCCCAGCGGAGAGCGCGGGGGCAGCGCCAGGCACGCGCAGACCTCACTTCGGGTGCCGCTCCCGGGTGGCCACGAAGCTCAGCAAGTCAATGGCGGTGACGACCCCGAACACCATCTGCCGCTGGCTGGCCTTGCCGTCGCCGTGATCTGCGGAGGCGAGAACGGGGCGGCAGGTGTACCGGGGAGCCCCGCGACAGAGGCCGTCGTCCCCGCCGTGCCGCGTGGCGAGGCCGCAGCGCCCCAGACCCGGCCGTACCAGGCACGGCGCTGAGGCGCCGCTGCCCTGGCCCGACTCGGAGCCGGGGGGACCCCACACCCCAGGGGTCCCGGGTGAAATTCAAACCCCGTTCACACCCCAGGGAAACACACAGCTCCACCTCTGGCGGGTTCTCTTCGAACCACTCCCTTTCCTCGGCAGGCTCAGGCGCAGGTCGGCGCTGCCCGGCCCCACGCCGCTCGCCCGCAGGCAGAGGGTCGTAGTGACCGTCAGCGCTAACACGTCGGCTTAAGCGGCCCAGGCGGAGCCCAGACGTTCGGCCAAATGTCACTCTGGATGAGCCGACATCTGAATGCGTGAACAGAGTGAGGCCGCTGCCCTCCCAGGTACCGGGGAACTTTTCCTGCGTCTGGACTCAACGCAAACACCAGCTCTCCCGCTCTCCTGCCTGCCGGCCCACCCTGCAGCTCTCGGGGTGTCCCAGCCTCCCGATCGCCTGAGCCAGCTCCTGCGACAGACCTCTGTGCACACACGTCCCGTCCGGCCCACTTCTGCGGAGAGCCTGACGGACAGTCGCGGTACGGCCCAGAGAGCGGGTGGGCAGGAGTGAGAAACACCAAGGCCCACTCTCGGGTCCTGTCCGCACGCGGCCACGGCTCTGTCACGCCTCTCTGGGGACAGAGGTCCCTCAGGGTAGGGGGAGCCCAGGGGGCCTGGCACTTTGCCCGCCCACTTGCAGGAAAAAACTAGGGGCACCCAGAAGAGATCAGCTCCCTGTGTTTTGGGGACACTGAGGCAAAGGGGCAACCTAGGAGAAGCTCGGCCATGGCTGCTGCGGCCCCCAAAATCCAGCCCCGAGACGCTGCCCAGACCTGGGCAGGACCCCTCTGAAAAGGGCCGATGGTGGATATTTTAGGTCTCGGGGCCCTGCAGACTGTGGCGACCGCTCAGCTCTGCCACCGTGCCCGGAAACAGCCACAGACAGCAGGTAGCAAGCGCGGCTATGCTCCAGCAACGTCGGCTCAGGGGCCTTCAGACTGGATTTGCAGTTTTTTTGTTTTTGTTTTTTTTTGAGATGGGATCTCACTCTGTTGCCTGGGCTAGAGTGCCGGGGTGTCAGCCCAGCTCACAGCAACCTCAAACTCCCGGGCTCAAGCCATCCTACTGCCTCAGCCTCCTAAGGAGCTGAGACTATAGGCGTGCACCAAAACACCCAGCTAATTTTTTCTATTTTAAGTAGAGACGGGGGCGGGTCTCACTCTTGCTCAGGCTGGTCTTGAACTCCTGACCGCAAGTGATCCTCCTGCCTCGGGCTCCCAGAGCGCTGGGATTACAGGTGTGAGCTACCGCACCCAGCCTCATTTTTTTTTTTCGAGATGTTCGAATGCAAGTCAATGTGAGACCAAGAAAAGGGACCCTCCCCACCCCTGCAAGCTTGGGGGTCCTCGAGAGCTGCAACCCTGCGCCCAAGTGCCATCTCCAAGGGGTGGGATGGGCGGGGCGTACATACCTGCAGGCCCCCCAATCCTGACCAGGCCTGGTCCTGCTGCAGAGCCAAGGACGGGAGAGGGGGTTAGACTCGGACGGCCCCAGGCCCTCACGCAGCAGTCCGGCCACGTGCACACACCCGCCACGCACAGGCCGCACAGGCAGGGCCCCTCCCAACTCCTGCTGTGGGCCCCGGACCAGCACCTGCAATCCCTGACCCAGCGCGTGAGACGCCCCTCCCGGCCTACGGAGATGTGGTCGGGATGCCTGGGACGCGCCACCCGCGAGAGTGGCCACTCTGAGACCCGTATGGGGGCTTCCTTTCGGAGCTGCCCCTCAAAGGCCAGGAGGCAAATGCAGCCCCTCCAAAGGGATGTGGGACGCTGCGGGGTCAAGACTTTCACCTGTTCTAGGTTTTCCTGGGACTGCCCAAAGCGGCCGGCCCGTGCACCCCAACCCACGGGCTCGGCACAGCCACCAGCCCGCGGTGTGGGGGAGGCTGGGTGACTGCAGGTGAGCACCGCCCGCTCCCCAACACCCCTCGAGGCACAGAGAGCGCCCTGGGGACGCCCAGGCAGGCCAGCCTGACAGCCCGGCCCCACCAGAACCCAGAGCCCGTGCGCGGAGCAGGCCTACTCACACTGGATCTGCTCGTGCACCACCAGGGCGAAGTGGTCCAGCTCCAGGATGTGCGAGAGCTTGCCCAGCGTGTCCGTCAGGCGGATCTGCAAGAGAAGCCGCTCACTGCTCACCTGGCCAGAGGCTGAGACTGCTGCCCCCAGAGACCGCCGCCTGCCCGCCAGGCCCTCCACGGAAAGGAGCACGGGTTAGCAGGAGACCTGGCGTCGCTCAGGAGGACCCAAGATAGAAGCAGAGGTAACAGGTGCAGAAAGACGCGTCCATGAGCTATAAACCAGGGAAGGACACGGAGCGGCCACGTGAGAGCCCGTGTGAGGAGGCCACAGGCCCTAAGACTGCAACTCCGATGTTGCCTTAAAGGCAAAACGGGTAAAAAGCTCAGTGGTTGCCAGGGCCGGGGGCAGGCAGGGAAGTAGGTGGGTGGAGGGGTTTTAGGGACCTAAACTGTGTTTTTCTGGTTGATACTATGATGACCCCATCTGCGGAGAGCTCAGGCCACCAAGGCACAGCGGGGTGGGGGTCCTGTCCCGGGACAGCCGTGCACAGCACCTGCAAGGCCCCACCCTACCGCCTTGCCCTTGGCTCCTGGCTGGACGCACCCCTCCCGAGACGCAGCGAGGACAACTGCTTATCGGACTGGGGCTGGACAACCCAAGGCGATTTCCGCATCAGAGGGTGGCCCTCGGGTCCCCACGCTGCGACAGTGCGTTCAGAGGGCAAAGCAGGGGGCTCGCCCCGCGCTGGGGCCCAGCAGCCCTGGGAGCAGCGGTGGGAGTTTACGGGAAGCCAGACTCCTCGAGGCGTGTTTTTAAGTCAGACGCCGACTGTGGTCCAAGACCAAGGAGTGGGGTTTTCTGTCTGAGAACACCCTGGAGAACCCTCAGGGCGGGGACTCACCCTGTGCCCCTCGGACCAAACCCCAGGCTGGGGCATGTGCCCAGCCGACGGGAGCCTCCACGTTTTCTGCCTTCTCCTTGGGACGGGGTCTGGAGCAAGGCTGAAGGACTCTTGCCTCTGTCCTCACCTACCCCTCAGTGCCCGGAGCAGAGCAGGGCCCGGAGGCTGTGGGACATTCTGCGCCTGCCAGCCGGGCCCAGCACCGAGTGGCAGGACATGGAGCCCTGTGCTGAGAGCCCGCGGCCTCAGCGGCACGCCTGCCGCAGCCCGGCCAGGCCCCAGGGCAAGGGCGGCACTGGCGGGGTGACGGGGCCTCTGAACACAGCGCACACCCCAGCTCCGCCCTTGGCTCTTTCCGACCCCGCCAGCATGGAAATGGAGACACAAAAGCAAAGCCGGGGGAGGCAGGGCGAGCTCTGCGCTTTAAGGATACGCCAGGTGTTCCTAAACGAACAAAGGCGCAAGGAAACGCGAGCCGAGCACAACGAGAACGCACGCCCTGGCAAGCGCCTGAGCGGCCGAGGCGAGGGTCTGCGGGCCACAGCTCACCTCCGTGCGTCGCTCCCTCCCGGGACTTCTCCCTCGGCAAAGGGAGCAGATCCGTGGTGCTGACAGGGTGCGGCCAGCGGGGGCCTGCGGGCTCCCGCAGTGGGGCCCGGCACCTGTGCACAGGAAGCGCCGTGTGCTGCCTTGGGGGCCGGGTGGAAGGTGGCACGTACCTGTTTGAACTGCTTGTAGACGACTTTGTGGACCTGGTCTGACGGCTGCACCTTCCCGGCGAGCAGGGACGACAGCATGTTCCCGAGCGTCACCATTCCCAGGATCGCCCTGGGGAAGCGGGCGGGGGGTCAGTGCACACAGCTCGCCCCGCCCCAGACGCAGGACACGCCCACTGCCCTCAGGCCAGCGTCTCCAACAATTTCCACCAACATCTGCCGGGCGTCTACATGTGGCAGGAACGCAGCAGGGACCACATGGGCGGGCGACAGTGAACCAGTGGGTCCCTGGGCATCTCCATTCTGCCAGCGGTCAGGGGGACCAGCCACCAGATGCCCAAGATGAGGGACTTGCCGGTCGAGAGGCGGTGCAGCTGGTCCCCTGGGCATGTCTGCCACCACCTTCCCTGTGAGACACTCAGGTGTCCAGCCCTGCCTCCCGGGCCAGCCAGAGTGGGTGTGGGCCGAGGCCCTGGGGCTCCCACACAGTGGACGTGGCCAGCCCTGCTCGGCTGCGGGGACAGGACCTCCGGGGCAGGGCAGCCCAATGCTCTGCACACCCGCATGCCGAGGGACCCGGGCGGCTGCCCCATCCAGCAACACTGACGGGGACAAGCGTGGGGCGCAGGCTGCGGCTCCCGGCAGAGCCCAGGGCCAGCGCTCTGGACCCGGAGGGCGAAGGGCGGCCGGGACTCACCCTGATTCGTCAACTACGGGCGCCTGGTCGAAGCCCTTCTCTCGGAGAATCTCGATGGTGTGTCCACAGGTGACGGTCGGCAGCACAGTCAGCGGTGCCGACAGGCTCAGCTCCTGAACCCGGAGATGCCACCACCTGAGGGCAGAGGGCAGGGCGGGGGGGTCAGGCCCAGGACCAGCACTCTCACTGCATGGGTGCCACCATGGCGGGAGGCCTCGGTGACCACCTCTCTCCCGCTTGCCACCAGCCAGACGTGGCCCGGTGCGAGGACACGCGCCCCTGCCCGAGACACCCTTACCACGGCCTCTTCACGGTGAGGTCCGCCTCCTTCACAAAGCCCTTCTGTAGCATCCACTTGTCACTCAGGAACTTGGACCTGCGGGGACGGGGGCTTCACTGAGGCCCGATGAGGATCCTGCACGGCCTCCGCCCGTTCTGCGGCACATCGCGCCCAGCAACGGGGTTCTGAGAAAGGCCACCCCTCACTGGTCCGGCAGAGACCCCAAGTGGCCGGGTGGAGGCTCCAGGGAGAGACCTATGGACCAGACTCCAGGAAGACCAACTGGGCACTGGGGTCAGGGGGCACCGGCCAGTGGGCGCCTGGGGAATGAGCTCGGAGAACAGAAGGTTCTTCCTGGAGCCTTTGTGGTCCAGTCCCCGCCCGGGGCTCAGCATCGATTCTCACACACTATGGGGCAAGGCAGGTGGAGAACCCGAGACACGGGGGCCCCACGGGCCAGGACCCGCTGAGCTCCTCCCCTCCCGGCTTCCTGCTGCCTCTCTCGGGTGAGGCGCGGCGTCCCAGCAAGGGTGACGGAAGGCGAGGAGCAAGGACCCGGGGGGAGGAGGGCACGGCTCTTACATGTAGTTGCGCACCGAGTCGGGCAGGATGACCACGCAGCGCTGACCCTCCTGCAGCTCCCGGGCAGCCCTCACGGCCACGGCCACGGTGCTGCCGGCACTGCCACCTGCCGAGAGGGCCCGGGCGTCAGACCCGCTGGTGCGAGTATGCAGGAGCCATGCGTGTGTGCACGTGTGTGCATACATGTGTACACGTGTATGCGTGCATGTGTGCACGTGAGTATCCCCGACACGCTCTAGAGGGATCCCTAGGGACCCATCAGGGTGGCCACCTCCAGGAGAGGGCTGGGCTGGGAGGACCCGCTTCTCACTGCACATCCACGTTCCCCTCAGGCACCCGGAGCTTCCACACGTGCTCAGGGTGAAACTGGACCCTCACGAGGACACAAAGACCCTGCAGCAAGAAGGGCTCCAGCCAGAGCAGGCGCTGGGGCCAGGGAAATGCCCTCGGACATGCCTGGCCCCGAGCCAAGCTCCAGGCACTGCTCACAGCCAAGCCACAAGGCCGGTGACGGCGGGTCCCACTCCATAAAAGACAGACCGCGGTTCACAGTGACACCACACACCCCAGGAGCCCTGAGTCAGAGCAGAGGTGGCTCATGAGCCCAGAGGTGGGCCGAGCTACGTTCTGCCGTGCACTGGAGTGCACCGGGAGGGCCCCTCCGCTCCAGACGGCCACCTGAGCCCACCGGGCTCCCCGGCCCGAGGCTCGGAACCCACACCTCCTCCTGGCAACAACCTGGGAACTGTTCGGTCGGGAGGGTTTGCTTCCCATCTGCGGTCTCGGCCTCAGCAGTCGGGGACCCGGCCACGCGGAGGGCTGGTTTCCTCCCATTTCCCCCGTCCCCACCCCGGAGAGACACGACACAGGGAAGGCACGTTTACATGACCACATGCATTCCCCGAGTAGGTTTCGGATGCCGGGGCAGGCTCTCTGGTCCCAAGTCCCTGAGTCCACACAAGCCGCTCGCCCTCCTTTGCTTCCTGGTCAGCGGCACTCCCTGGCCAAGGCACCTGCTCTAGCCACCCCCTAGCTCCATGGAGGCCAGAGCTGACAAGGAGCGCCGTCCACCTCCCCTGGGCCCCGGAGGCCAGAGGGACAGACCCTCTCCAGCCCCTCGGGGTGTTTGGGGCACCAGGTTCTGACCTTGGACCCAGTTGATGAGGGGCCCGCACCCCAGGACAAGGCTGGTGTTGATTAGAAACAAGTGTCGTGAGAGCTGTGGCTGTGTCTGGGGGCAGCTCACAGCCCTGCACCTGGGCCTCCTGCCCTCCCATGCACAGGTGACCCAAGGGCTGCGGAGCAGGCCGGGCAGACAGATGACGCCACCCAAGAGGTGTGGCTGCTGCCGCGTCTCACGCATGTGGGCTGGAGGCTGCAGAGGGCGGGCGCCACTCACCACAGAGCAGCCCTTCCTGCGCGATCAGCATGCGGGCGAAGGCAAAGGCCTCCTCGTCGTTGCTCTTGTACCACCTGTCCACCACCTGCAGCGGCCCAGAGACAGCCCGTCAGACCGGAGCACCCTGGCGGCGGGGCTGGCGCAGCCGCACAGCCGAGCCCCGTCCAGGCGGCTGGGACCCCAGGTGTGGCCCAGGCCCCGCTCCTGGCACTGAACTCACACCTGCACACCTGGAACTCTGCTCACTCTCAGGCCAGAGCCACCCCTTCCAGTCCACAGCGAGGGCACCCCCTGCTCCACGCCCAGGCCGGCCCTCCCTGCCGGCCATCTCTGAGCCCGCGCCCCGAAAGGTCAGGGCACGAATGTGGGCATCCCACCCGGTCTCGACCTCGAGACCACCGCTGACAGCTCGTGCCAGGCCCGCCCTTCCGTTCCCCATCAGTGGGGAAGTGAGTTCAGGGGCTGCAGCGGCACCACCCTGCGGGGCAGCCCTGGCCCCAACCCACCGTCCTGTCCAGCACGGTGGGGATGAAGTCGTAGCCGATGCCTTCCACCTCGTAGGCCGTCACCTCCGTCTGGTTCAGCACCTCCGGCTCCGCAAGGATGGATCCTTCCGGATCCACACCGATGATCTGCAAAGCGGGCAGCTTTAGGCTTCAGTCCAGCAAGAGTCACACCTGAGCATGTCCAGCTGTAACTGGAATGGCCGGTGCTGCTGCTAACAAGTGCCTGTTAACATCTGCCCGGGGGATGCAGGTCTGTTCCCGGGCCTCGGAGGCAGGAGGAGAAACCCGGGAACATGGCCCCAGGCATGTAAGTACAACAGCCGAATCCGAACTAAACGGGCAGCACAGGACACTGCCGGGTCGATGTGACTTCCTAGGGGGCTCCTCTGAGCAGGGACCCCAGGACAGCCCAGACAGACCCCAGTGGTGGGACATGCAGCCTTCGGGGACAAGGGGCAGTGCTGAGCACTGACCTGTTTTTGGAGGGCTGGCAATACGGTCACAGTGAGGAAGTGCTCTCAGCCCCACCGCTGGGGGATTCCAGGAGCCCCTCCTCAGACCTGCTCTTCCCCCAAATCCAGGAACCCTCCTGACTCTCACAAACCCCAGTGGAACCCGAGCCCCAGGCAGGGCACTTGGGACCAGAGAGCGCAGAGCTTCTCGCTGCTGGCTGGAGGCCACCCCCGCCCAGCACAGGGAGCCCCTCTAGGACACCGGCCCGTGAACGAACACCCGGGCCGGGCTGCTTCGGTCCCGAGCTGCTGGGTTCCTTCATCTGCCAGGCGCCCACATCCCGAACGCCTCCCAGGCGGCGCCGATGCACACGCCACGGAAGACGGCGACGCCAGGCGGAAGCGGGCGGAACGAGAGCTTTCCGCCCAAAGCACAGAGGCCACTCCGTGTGCTGACGCCTCCGAGCTCAGCCCAGGCCACCCCGCCCGGCCCGTGCCACTCACTCTGCACCCCGGACACTTCTCCTTCAGCTTCCTGGCGATGCCTGTGATGGTGCCGCCCGTGCCCACCGAAGCCACCAACATGTCCAGCTTCCCTGGTGGACGGAGGACATCCTCGGGTCACAACCCGGCCAGCCCCCCACTCCCAGTAACACTCAGTGAGAACAGGCTCAACCCAGCCAAGGCAGGTGACGGAAAGGCCCCAAGACAGACTTATTCTCAGACTCGAGCCGCCCCCGCCACAGGGCTGTGTCTGTAAACGAACCCGCAGAAGCGGGAGCCGGCATGGCTTGTTCAGTCTTTGCTCAGCGACACTTGGCCCTTGAAGGCCCATCTGGCTGGGCCCGTGGAGGCCGATGCCGTGGGGCGGGGCAGGGGGAGGCTCTCCCGTCCGTACCTCCCTAGGCCGTGGGATTTGGGCTGATGTGAGAAAGTGAGCTGATTTTAAGAGGAAATAGAATAAATCCCTCAGGCCGTGGCTCAGAAAGTGTCTGCGCTCTGCCCCCACCGCGAGGCCAGCTGGGGCACCTGGCGGGCGAGTCTCGACACAGGCAAGCTGGCGAGGCGGAGCGGTGTGGGCACTCGTGCCGAGACAGGACTGTTTTGCCAGATGAGCAAATTCTCACACGTAAAATGCCTGGACTGACGTCACCACCTGGCTCCTGGGCACAGACCAAGGCTGTGCTGGGGCCACTGCCAGCGGCGGACTGCCACAGGAAGCCCAGAGTGCCGGCCTCCCAGCAACTTCTCCCTACAGGGGTCTCCGGGGAAAACACGACCTCCAGCCCCCCGGGCCCTGGCACTGGACGTGTGGGAAGGTTCCAGGGAGCTCATGCCTGCACAGGGAGCAAGCCAATCGCGGGCGTCACCGCCCCACTCTGCACATGAATTCAACGCCCAAGTTGGGGCTTGATCCTAACTGCCATTCGGCACAGCCCCGGCCCCGAAATATTCAATCCCAGAGCTCAGGAGCTCCTGCGGACCGCAGACACTGCCGGGTAAACGCGCCGCTCCGCGTGTTGGCTGTTACAGGTAAGGCGCAGGCAAGGGCCAGGATAGCACAAAGGAGGGAGGAAACTGCTCTAGGGAAACGCTCTGGAAGGCATTCACAGAGAGCAGACATTTGAGCTGGGTTTTGAAGGGTGAATAGGAGTTTACTGAGGAAAGCGCACATGACTTGTACTTTTCCCAGGCAACCAGGGATAAGTGCACTCGATGGGCAGCGCGTGAGCAGGGAAGTACACACCGTCACACTGCTGCAGGATCTCCTCCGCGGTGGTGTCGTAGTGAGCCAGGGGGTTGCTGGCGTTGCGGTACTGCACGGAAAGAGAGCACAGAGCCGCGAGCCACCACTGGCCTCAGTAACCCCACTCCTGCTGCAGCTGCAGCACCCCCCAGTCCCTGACAGAGACCCCCAGGGAAGTCTGCTTAGGCACAAATGCAAACCCACCTCCCAGGCCCCCGACGCCTCACCTGGTCCAGTATGTGAGAATTGGGGATTTCGTTCCTCAGCCGCCACGCCACTCCCACGTGGGACTCGGGGGAGTCGTACCTGGCGTTGGTGGGCGTCCTCACGATCTCAGCCCCCAGGGCCCGCAGGACATCCACCTGCACCGAGGAACAGAACGGCCTTCACCTTCCGGCCAGGTCGGCCCCACCAGCCCGGCCCCTCTCCCCGCCCACCCCGCCCCGCCCACCTTCTCCGAGCTCATCTTCTCCGGCATCACGATGATGCAGCGATAGCCCTTCACGGCGGCAGCCAGGGCCAGCCCGATCCCTGGGGGCACACAGAGGGCGAGGAGCACAGTGCCCACCCAGCCCCGCCAGCCCTGCCTGGGACACAGCTCGGGAGGCCCAGGGGAGGGGTCCCTCAGGACTCCGAAACTGCCCAATGGCCCAAGTAGCCCCTCTGCCCTCCAGCGAGGGGTCGGGAGAGAGTGTGGGGCAGAAATTAGGGCGCGCGGTGGAGGAGGGGGAAGCTCCTGGGTGGGAGACAGACAGCAGGCCCCGGGCTGGTCCTGTGCCGCCCCCGCGTGCCGTCACTGGGACGTGGAGTCACCGGGACATGCAGTCACCCGGACGCACAGTCACCCAGACGCACAGTCACCCCACGCACAGTCACCCCAGGCGTGGCTCCCCATGCGCAGTCACCCAGGTGTGCAGTCGCCCGACTCGCGCACACTGGACGCGGTTGACGATGGTGACGGAGGAAGCGGCTGCCTGCATGGCCAAGGCCCAGGCGCCAGGGAGAGGCCAGGCGGGCAGCTGCAGCGCAGCCCGGGCCCCACCTGTGTTCCCCGATGTCGGCTCGATGATGGTGTCCCCGGGCTTCAAAACCCCGTCCCGCTCGGCGTCCTCCACCATGCGCAGGCTGATGCGGTCCTTCACGCTCCCGCCCGCATTGAAGAACTCACACTTGGCCACTGGGGGGCGAACAGCGTCACAGGGAGGAAAAGCCCCGACCCCAGCTGACTCCGGCCCGCCCCCCATCACCAGGACGAGTGGGCTTGGTGCCGCAGGGCCGCCCTGCCCCCACGCCTGCCCTACGGACCACACGCACCCGAGGGAATGAGAAGGCACCGGGAGCCCCCGCTGGGTGGTGGATCAGGAACCAGCCCCAGCAGAGGCCCAGGAGCCGAGCTTGGATTCGAGCCCCACTCTCCCCTGTGCCCAGCCAAGCTGTCACCCTGCCAGACCAATCTGACCTCCTGAAGCCACCGGCCATCTGATGGGGACCTGCAAACCCTCCAGGACGGCCTCACGTCCTCCTTCCTCTGCGAGGAACCCCTCGCCCAGAGAAAGGGCTCTCTGTGTCCCCCCACACAGCCTCAGCTCCGCTTTCCCAGACCGAGCCCCTTGCTGAACATCCTCCCTCCCCAGCTCTGAAAAACGTCGAGTTTTTAGAAGAGGGAGACACTGGGCTGCACCAAGTGGATGTGAAGGACCCAGGACCAGCCTACGGCACCCACGAGATTCTGAAAGCCACCACCAGACAGATCGGACCCTGGCTCGGCAGAGGTGCCGCGTGTGGCGGGAAGGCCGCACCCAGGAGCCCCGAGCCATGCACTGTGAACCGTCCGGTTAGCTCACTCTAATGAACCCGTAGAGGCCGCTCTGCAGCGCAAATCGGAGCTGACCAGCTGATGGCCTTGGGCAAGCCACGTAACGGGTCTGAGCCTCGGTTTGTCTGTCTGTGAAATGGGCCTTCTGGGTACTAGTTAATGGTCTCTGTTACCTGACAAGTGGGCACAGAGCAGCCTGCTGGGCCCTGGGGGCCTCTGTGGGGGGATGATCGTTTATTCAGACATTTCCTTCCCCAGAGGGGCAGGGGAGGGCCAGGCTCCCCCAAGGGTTCCCAGTGCACCGACCGCCAGACTTTTTCAAGCCTCCACCCCCCTCCATGTCCTCACTGCAGTGACCCCTCCTCTTTGCTTTTTTTTTTTTTTTTTTT